AGATCCCCTGGAGCTGGTGTTACAGACAGTTGTGAGCTGCCATGTGGGTGCTGGGAACCAAACTCCTGTCCTCTGCCAGAGCAGCCAGCATGCTCAACTGCTGAGCCATCCTGCACTTCTCCTTCCCTCCATCACCTCCGCCCTCCCCCTCCCTCTTAAGTGTATTTACTGTGTCCGTGTGTCTGTCTGCTTTACTGTCTATGTGTCTGTCTGCTTGACTGTGTCCGTGTGTCTGTCTGCTTGACTGTGTCTGTGTGTCTGTCTGCTTTACTGTGTCTGTGTGTCTATCTGCTTTACTGTGTCTGTATGTCTGTCTGCTTGACTGTGTCTGTATGTCTGTCTGCTTGACTGTGTCTGTATGTCTGTCTTCTTTACTGTGTCTGTATGTATGTCTGTATGTCTGCCTGCTTGACTGTGTCTGTATGTATGTCTGTCTGTCTGCCTGCTTGACTGTGCACTGCAGCTCTGCCCTCCCTCTTCCTCGCTGTGGGATGAGATCAGAGCCCCGTTCATTTTCTCTGTGTGCGCCCCCTGCGCAGGTGCACAAGCTTCTGATTGTGGTGGAGCTCCTGTTGGGGGAGATCCCAGACCGCCTGCAGTTCCGTCAGCCCTCCCTCAAGCGCTCTCTCATGCCCTACTTCCTTCTCACCCAAGGTAAGGCTGATCTCCCAGAGCCCTGCCTTGGGGCTTGGTGTGTGTACCCATTTACATCAGCTGAGCACTCCTGTCCCCTCACAGCTGTTAGGACAGGAAATCTTGCCAAGTTCAACCAAGTCCTGGATCAGTTCGGGGAGAAGTTTCAAACAGACGGGACCTACACCCTAATTATCCGGCTGCGGCACAATGTGATTAAGACAGGTGTGGATCTGGTTCTGTGCAGCGTGCAGATGGGCTGTCTTCCCCGGACGGGCCGCCTGTGGGTGGGGACCTGTCTGCCCACCTGCCCACCCACTGCTCCTCCCACAGGTGTGCGCATGATCAGCCTCTCCTATTCCCGGATCTCCCTGGCGGACATTGCCCAGAAGCTGCAGCTGGATAGCCCAGAAGATGCAGAGTTCATTGTCGCCAAGGTGGGACTGGCTTGGGAGCCACAGTGGCCAAGGATGTGACCTTCCTGCCTGTACCGGGGCAGGAGTAGGCGGGAATTTGCCAGAGGGCACAGCAGTAACCCAGTCTCACCAGAAAGTGCCAGTAACTATGGCAAAGCAGGAGGTTGCCAGAAAGAATGAATCTGGGCGTGAGTGTTGGGACAGAGGACCAGAACAGCACAAGAGCTGCAGGAGGTGACCTTTCCTCCCTTTGGGAGCCCACAGGCCATCCGGGACGGTGTGATCGAGGCCAGCATCAATCACGAGAAGGGCTATGTTCAGTCCAAAGAGATGACTGACATCTACTCTACCCGCGAGCCTCAGCTAGCCTTCCACCAGCGCATCTCCTTCTGCCTGGACATCCACAACATGTCTGTCAAGGTGAGGCGCCCGGGCCGCTGGTTGGGCTAGCTGCTAGCTGGTGATTTTGTTTTTTGTTTTAATAGGCAAAGGGGCTTTTGAAAATTATTATTTAGTATGTACAGTGTTCTGCATGCATGCACACCAGAAGAGGGCACCAGATCTCATTACAGATGG